AAAAAAAAAAAAAATTTTAAAAGTCAAATGGAAAAAAAAAAAAGAATTTTTCTCTCTTTGGCTAGTTTATTGGCCAATCTGGAGATAGAAGAGGGGACAAGCTTTTTCATTTCAATTTAGAAAATATGGACTACTTCCCTGTTTCCAAACTACCTGCATTTTAATCCTGACTTAAACAACCCTGTAGGACTTAAGCCAGAGCTTCCTGTCCCTCCAATGAGAATGAGCGGCATTACCAGGACATGCTCCCAGTTCTGCATCAGGTAAATGTCAGCTTGATCAATGATGAGCAGCTCGATAGAAGACAAAAAGTCAAAGTCTCTCTTCCTCTCCCCTTCTGCGCCAATGATGGTCCTCAAGCCCAAAGGGGAGGCAATGAGGATGTCCGAGGAGTAAAAGGGGGCGTAGAGCCGGATGCTCCTCTGGAGTATTGCCACTCCTACGCAAAACAGCCAAGTACACATCAGTTCATTCACCACTGCCCAGACTTAGCTTCACCCCCGAAAGCACCCCTACCCTCACACCTTCCAGATTGTTCCCTTTAGCATAGAATCATGCTCAAACTGACTTATTAAAATCATCATCCCTCCTGTGCACTTGGGGTCCCTTCAAGCTCCCACTCTTCCTTTCCTTCACTGTCAAACTTCTCCGGAAAACTGTCTCTATTCTGACACCTCGCATTCACTCCTCAATGCACCGCGCCTGGCCTCTGATGTTCAGGAGTCACTGCAATGGCTCTTGCGAAGGTCACCAGTAGCTCTCAGCCACCAATTCAATGGCGCATTAGTGTTTGTCATGGATGCACAAGCAGCACCTTGAGCACACCCTCCCTGACATGTTCTTTTCCTCACCGGTGATTTCCAGCACTTCTGTGTCTATCACTGACCTGGCTGTTGGCAATTGTTCCAGATCCAAACCAACGAATCCCTGGATTCACCCTCTACTTTCACTCTACATAAAGCTCTGGGTAAATTTATGCACTAAGCATGGTTTTAACACCACCTTCACGCCAATTTATATTTCTAGCTGACATCTTTTCCCAGCTCCGCACATTTGTCAGCAGCTCGCTGGACACCTACCCGTTTAAAGCGGAACACGGGCTCTTGTACCCTTGCACCCTGCCATGCAGAAGTCTGTGTGAGTTTTAGGCCAGGCCCCAGCTTATTCACCCTGAGGCCTCTGGAAGTGCAGTTTCCTGTCCCAAACATTTTCCTCCACTCTGACCACCCCCACTTGTAACTGGTAAATCCTACTCAGGCTTCAACTTAGTACAGACAACACCTCCACCAGGAGGCCTTCCCTAACCACCCTGTGCCCATGCTGGGTAAGGAGATTGTTTTAAATGCTCCCAGAACACCCACTGCCACCTCTGATCGTAAATTATCATTCTGTACTGTCTGTTTCCCCATGAGGCTGGACTTCCTTAACAGCAGGCATCATAATTTTTATTTCTAAATCCCCGGCTTCTTAACAGTGCCTGGCACACAGGAGATGCTTAATAAATGTTTTATGAATGAGCATATGTGACTAATGAACATTTTCCAAGAACTTCACTCTATCAATGTACAGCCAGCCAAGTACGTGGGAGCTGAATGAGACAAGCAAAAGCATGAAGGCTGAGTGGGAGTCAGTGAGTCCTGTGTGGTGTTAGCTCAGGGGTGGGCATCTGTGTGGCAGGCAGGGGGCAGGTCCACTACTGTGCAGATGCTCAATTTATTCAGCCTCCCCAGACTGACCCCTCAGCCCATCCCTTCCAGCTCCCTGAGAACTCTGGCAGCATTAACTATGTGATACAGCTATGTGTGTGCTGAGACATTTCTATTATAACGTGCGTGTGCCTTTTATCTGAGCCTTCAGAGATGCTCCACCCCATTAGCCAAGTATCTACTGCATCAGCCTCAGCAAGACTCTCCACCCTGGCCAACAAGATGTCTCACATGGCCCAGCCAGGCGTGGCTCAGCAGTTGAGCATTGACCTAGGATCCAGGCGATCAGGGTTTGATTCCCGGTCAGGGCACATGCCCAGGTTGCGGGCTCGATCCCTAGTCGGGGGCATGCAGGGGGCAGCCGATCAATGACTCTCTCATCACTGATGTTTCTATCTCTCTCTCCCTCTCCTTTCCTCTCTCTGAAATCAATAGATATATTTAAAAAAAAAAAATGTCATCTCATATGCACTCTGGTTCTGTCAGGAGGCCGAGTGACCCACTGCAAGATGCCTAATTCCAGGCTTCCGCCTCCAGCTATGTGACCCTCACACTGCAGGGCCCTCAGGGCCTCAGTTTTGACAAGGAGAAATTACCGATCCTGAAGTGGTCATCGATGTTGCCGACAAACACGGCTTCGTAATCCTCAGGCCTCTTAAGGTTGGGTGGTCTCTCCTCGGGATCCGAGCCATACTCTCCGTTAAACCTCTTCTTGTTGCTCACAATTATTTTCTTCTTGCTGTCGCCCTCAAGGAGGCTGATGAAGAGCTGTACCACCCGCAGAGCAGCTTCCCGGAACGGGACCACTATCAGCACCTGCGCAGGGAGCCATGCAGCCACCGGAAGGGGAAGGAAGGGCAGCTCAGGGTGAGCCTGCTGAGGACGTGCTGCTAAAGCACCCTCTGCACAGCAGTGGCCCCAGCCAGGGACCATACCTGTGTCGAGCCCTTTGCACAGAACCTGGCTCAGGGGTAGAAGCTGAGCACCCGTCATATCCACAGCACCAGCCCTGTGGATTTAATCTCATGGCTCCAAGGGAAGCAATTCTCAAGTGGAATTTGGGAATACCTTTTAGGTTAAGTCAATGCCTTTAACAGGAGTCCACTAGCAAAAACCCAAGGACATAAACACACAAGCTCTCTGAGGGCAAGGAATGAGACTCACTTCTGTCTCCTACAAAACTTAGTACCGTATTTTTATACATAAGACCCAAGGGACAAATATGTCCCAAATAAAAAACGAATTAGATGCAATAGAGAATAAAGCTGGTAAGGAAAAGAGCTAATGCATCACTACGTTTCTAGCACATTCTATAGTACATTTTTCAGATACGATGACAAAACATTTGTGAAATAATATCCTATTTTAATGGGAAATATAGGCCGTAGTTTTTCCAAACATTTCCTAAAACACTTAAAGTTACAACTGTTAAGGGGAAAAACAGAAGATGCTTCATAAATAAATAATGTCTAACCACCTTTTTGTAAACAATACAACCAGTGGAAATAACCCAATCAGATCATGTAATTCACTGTATGATAAATGTGCTTCCTGGGTAACCTGTCTCTCATTCTTTTTTGCAATTCTAAATGGAAACAGATAATCTCATAATCCTGATGTTCAGGACTCTGAGGTAGTTTCTCCGAATGACAACCAGCATGGCCAGAGGGGGGCAGAGATTCAATGCAGGGACGATGGATCCATGTGTTGAGTGAGCCGAGTTACTGTCCCGGCTGTAACGTGACACTATGTAAGTGTCCCGGCTTCGGCTTCCCCAGAGATCAAACAAGGGGGTTGGACTACGAAACTCTAAGAGCCACGTAAGTATTAACTGAAAAGTGCAGACAGAACTAAAAGGCATTTTCTATCGCAGCCCTAAATCCACTGGAGCTTAGGCTTATGAGCCCAAGTAAATGGAATCACCACTTTAAGCAGCAAGAACCATACAATGAAAAACAGGGATTTTTCTTTTCCAAGGTTGACATATTTCTGTGGCTTAGTGAAGAGAACCTCCGGTTCTCATCCATCTCTGCTACTCCTGTCCTGGTTCTCTTCAGCAAGGCCCCTACAAACCTGGGTGTCTGTCCAGAGTTGTAACATGTAGGGATTAAACAAGAGGCTCATTAAGGTCCCACCCAGCTCTACAATCCTAAAGAAGAGATTATACTGGGATGTTATTTATGCACGTTCAGGGTTTATCTTGAAGGAGAATTATCATGGAGGTGCCTCCTACTCACAAGTTTCCAGTTAGAGCCACTGTTAAAAAGTCCACAGAGCTCCGCTCTGACATTACCTGGCTGTTGGATCCATTCATTATTCTAACCACTAAAATACCTGGCTACTCAGTAAATGTCAGGCACCTAGATGGCAGGGCCCTGCCGCCTCCTTGATGGCAAAGCTGCTGCCACTCACCTTGGGCCTTGTTAGCCCCTGGTCCCGGAAGGCATCATCGTCCCCCACCCCAAGTTTCTGGCTTCGGCGTCGGCTGTTGTTGCTGAGCACCTGGGCGTTGGCCTTGAGGACGTGGTTTAGTGCGTGCAGGCAGTACACGTGGCGGATCTCCTCCCCATTCTTCAGGGCGGTCCTTTCTGGGTAGAACAAGTCCTGGTACGAATTCATAATTAAGAAGAGCTCTTTCTGGAGGGGTGTGAAGGGGCTACTTGATTTGGGGTGGCCAGAGAGAAACTGGCTGTTGGTCTTGGTCCAGGTGGATTCCAGAGGCTTCTGGAGATGAAGTGCCTTTAGGTCCAGGTCCTTTGGGGGTTTAAATGCTCCCGACTTCTGAAACTTGGATGAAAAAACAAGCTGACCCAGGATGGGCCACTAGGGGAGAGACAGATCAAGAGCTATGTTAGAAATGATTTGTAATACCTCATATTCACACAGTACTTTCTAATTTACCGAGACCTCTCGTGACCTACAGTCACCTCATTTAATCTCACAACAACCCTGCAAGGTTAATACTATAATGCTCTTCTTACAGGTCAGGAAATGCTGAGGTTCAGAGAGGTTATATGATTCAGACACTTTTTCAAACACTTTTGAAAGGACAAAATTATAGCAATGGAAAAGATTAGTGGTTACCATGGATTAGGAATGGGGTAAGGGAGGTGGGCGTGCTTATAGAAGGGCAAGGGAAACAGGAGGGATCTTCATGGTGCTGGAATGTTCCACATTCTGAAAATGGTGGTGGGAAGGGGAACCCACACATGGGACAAAACAGTACAGAACTAAACACACACTGAGTAGGAGCAAAATTGGGGAAATGTAAGACAGGGAGACTGTATCAATGTCAACTTTCTGGCTGTGATATTATAATAATGTTCTGCAAGATGTTACCATTGGGGAAAACAGGGCAAAGGACATAGGGACATCTTTGATTGTTTATTACAACTGCATCTATAATTATTATCTCAACAAAAATTTCAATTAAAAAAGTATGACCAACTCTCATGAACAGCATCAATGGGTGAAAAATTTAAAAACAAAGCAAAAACTGCTCCATGTTTGAGTAATTTAGTTGTGAACCATTATCTGATATTTCAAACAAATCAACAACAACAGGAGCTACTGTTTTACTGAATTACTTTATTTTGAGGTATGCATTGCTGTCTCCCTCTAACAGAGGAGAACTGAAAAGATCAACAAGGTAGATTAACTTGCCATAGGTCATGGTAACAGCCCCTTGCAGATGTTAGTCTAAACCCCGGTGTACTGTCTCCAAAACACTCCTACCTTTTCTGGCTCCCACACTCCAGCTTCTCAGAGCCTTTTCTAGCTACATCTGTGCCCCACTAGGCTCGTTCAGCCTCCCTGTGCCCCGCTCCTCCTTAAGCCATCCATCGCCCGCCGGTGCATATCCTGTATTTGGGGAGACTGCTAAAACCCAACACCATTGCTTTACTGAGAGCTTTCCTCCCTTGTGACTCAGATGACTAAGCGACACTTACTTTTAGCTCATGGGTAGTTTTGGGATTTGTGGCAACGACCTGAATTTCTTTTTCTTTCAGTTCTTTGTTCACATGTTGTAGAAATGGATCTAATTCAGAAATAAAGAATGTTAGAACACCTGGAGAAAATGGCAGGCATGTCTGGTTTTCCCGTGAATGACATGCTGTCCCTCACCCTTTCCCCCTCTACTTTCCCCATCCTCTCTCCCAGTCCAGAGCTGGACAGTTCCTGACGGGTCCACTTTCCTAAAGCTGTTTGTTCTCCTCACAAACTGCCTCCCACCCCCCAACCTCCCAACTCCCCATACCACTGAAAAGCACAAAACACCTTTGAGAGGCGTTTCTTCCTAGCTCCCTATCTAGCTGCTCACCCCAATAACAAGATCAGCATGTATCAGCCTACAACCCCTGCATGAAGCACCTGATGAATTCTGATCTTGTGATGCTTTCAGAGAACAGCTGCCTCCACTCTCCTCTTCGAGAAAATTGGTTTCCAGGCTGAAGAGGGACTCATGCTTTGTATCTGTGAACTCCTCGGGGGGTTCTTGCTGTGATGGGCCAGGTAGCCCATCCCCATCTTCTTCCTCAGGGTCAGCAGGTAAGACCTTACCTCCAATTTTGAGAAACATTTTGTAAAATTATTCAATCATAAATACAATTATACATCTGCTGACAAATTAAATCTAATTCCTTAGCCTGTATCAACACTGATATCTGCTGCCATCATTTACTTTGACGCACACTTAGGTGGAAAACAAATTTCAAAATCAAGCTTGACTGTTGACCCAGTTCTACTTCTAGGAACTTGTTCTAAGGTGATAACTAGACAAAGTACACTAAGATGTACATGAAGATAGGCAAAGCAGTACGGGGCTTTATTATGAGAAATAAATGGGAAAAATGATTCCATCATTTTCTATCAATGGGGTAATTAAGTTACCACATATCACTTACAGTGGAACGCTATCCAATTAAGAAGCTAATGTGAATCCAGTCACACACATGGAAAAAGGTCCCTGGTATATTATTAAAGAAAAACTTAAGTAACAGAAACGTACGAGATGATTATACACATACACACAAACATATGTACATACTCGTACTTACCCATATATCCACAAAAAAGCAGTCTGGAAGGTTTTATAAAATGTTAAACGTGTTTATCTCTAGGTAGTATGGAGGGGATATAGGTTAACTATACTACTTTCTTGAATTTTTACAGCAGACATATATTACTTTCATAATTAAAAAACAAAACCAAAAAACCCCACAATACTGCATTTTGAAAAATCCAAAACAGGAAAGAAAAATGAAACAAAACAAAACAAAACAAAAGAACCCCTAAGTCTGAGGCAATGAATCTTTATCCTAATAAAACTAATGAATTAAAACACTAAGAATGGTGCACAGCACCTTAAAGTACAGAACCAAATGCACTGTGAGGAAAGTAGGCATTAAGATAGTGAGATATAGAAAGTCAGCCGGATATATTCAGACAATGAACTACTACTCCAGCAATAAAAAGTAATGAATTACTAATAGGTGAACAACATGGGTGAATCACAAAGTGAGGAGCCAGAGAAGCCAGACACAAAAGGCTACATACTGTATGCTTCCATGTATATAAGCTTCTAGAACAGGCAGAACTAATCTATCGCAAAAGAAAGCAGGTCAGTGGTTGCCTGATGCCAGGGATGGGAAACTGGCTGTAAAAGGACAAGAAGGGACTTTTTAGAGTTATTGGAAATGTCCTGTATCTTCACTGTGGTGGTAATAACACAGGTGTATACATTCTGAGTCTGTCAAAATTCATTGAACTATATACTTAAAATGGGTTCACTTTATTGCATGTAAATCCCTTGTTCGCCCTGGCTCGGCATCTCTTCACCACCTTATGTCCGGCTGCTCCATAAAACCCTGCTTATTGAAAAAATATGTATATTTGTGTCTATTTTCCATTAAACTAGGTTTCCCTGAGGAACAGTAATCTCTCTAAATAAACTGAGACCATCTCAAAAACAGAATTATGTTCTCTTTCCTCTGATTCAGAGAAACTTTGATGAAGTCTGACGTTATTTCTGCACTTTTCTGGCAAGAAGGTCCTATGTTTTCATCAGACTCGTGAAAGCATCACTGAGGCCAACAAGGTTAGGAATCTCTGCTTTGGACCCACGTGCTTCCATCCAACTCCCAGTACCAGGCACTGTGCCCACGGGGCGATGTGCCCGTGGTCCTGGTACAGGTGACGAGCCCACACGGGGGACACTTACTCTCCTGCTTCTCTGCAGACTCTGCTGCGGCCACCTCCTCTGCACTGACCTCGCTGCCACCGTCTTCGCTGCTCACTTCTGCCTCATCTAGGGCACCTTCCTCCTCCTCCTCCTCCTCTTCCTCCTCCTCCTCCTCTTCCTCAGAAACATTCTTCAATGTGGCGAGTAGTCTGTGGTACCCAGAAACTTGCTCCGGTTCACTCTCTGCTTCACTTGCAGAGTCTGAAGAATCTGAACTCTCTGACTAAAAAAGAAAAATGGGACTTGTAAAAACAAAATGATATTGTTCTCACTGCTACCCCATGACTATCATCAGGCCAACAGCGTAACAGGCTCGGACTTTCCCAAATAAAACTTAGCCTTTCTGCAAAGACCCAATAGTAATTATTCAAGCGAGTCCACCACCAATATGTACAGGGGTGGGCAAAAGTAGGTTTACAGTTGTTACGTGAAAAGAGCTTAATCTTGTATTATTATTTATTCTCGTATTATATATTTTTCCCTACAAACAGCTGTCAACCTACTTTTGCCCACCCCTGTTCTTAAAACAATTAATCTCGCTAAGACCCTGGCAGCTCTTCACCTTCTTTGAACTGCTAACGTTCCCACACGGGAAGAAAGCTGACATAAAGCTTTAGGCTGTAAGGAGATCTAACCTGTTTGTCAGACAGTTGGCCCATTTAAAGAGGCAACCGGAAAATGACAACCAAAGAATGCGGGCTGGGAAGCATCCTTAAGGTTCTAACAGGCTGATCTCACCGCAGTTACCACAATGTTACTAAAATCAGCAAGAGTGGAAATGCAGCCAAACGTGATTATTATACATAGTTTTAAAAGCACCCACCCAGAACCAACTCTCATAAAGAAGGAATGAAGCATTTACCAGTGTGCAGATCTGTGGTTTTGCTTCCTTTCTGGAAACCCTGAGAAGAAACGGGTAACGTTTAACTTCGTAAGTATGTAGCAATTAGGAAAATGTCCCAACGACACAACTATACATTTAAAAACGGCAGCGTGCACCGTGATCATCACATCATAACTAGAGTCGTGTGAAAACGACGCTCGCCCTGCGAACAGAGGCTGCAAGAGCTGGAGCCAGCAGACGACGACTGACCAATGGAAAGTTCGCGGGGTCACGTGACACGCTCCCACCCCAAACACGGCTACATCCGGCCAATCAAAGCCGTCGGGCTAACTTTTCCCAGCAAACTTCTCAGCCAGAGCGTCCCCGGGAGTCACCGGGGCCCTGGGGGCGGGAGGCGCGCGCAGGCCGTACCCGCGCCTGGGCCCTTACAGAGGGGCCCACGACCACCCGCGCGTCCGCTTCCTCGTTGTAACTGGACAGCGCGGGGCCGTCGAAGGCCCCAAGCGATTCTTTAAAACCAAATCACTCTAGAAACAGCTCGGACCACACAAAACCCAGCCGACGCAGCGGGAGCGAAAAGTGAGGGGCTCGGCTGCAGGTAGGGAGGCCCCGGAGAGCGCGTCTCGGGCCCGACCTGAGCACGGCGGGGCCCGGGAGGCGCGGGCAGGGGCGGG